GTTTGGGGAAAGGGACCATACTGTCCTGTTGAAAGGACGGGGACCATACGCCTTTTTTGAAAAGGAGGGGTACCATACTGTCATATTTAATTTAATAAAAAAAATTTTTGTCCAGAATGGGTGATTTCTGGTTATGTTTCTTCTTTTTTTTTCTTTTGCATAAATAAAATCTAATCTGCAATCTGTCTCTAGTAAATTTCACTGTCTTTTGTAATTCACTGGTTTATGTCTGTTGAAGGATAAAATACAATCTATCCCATAAGCTATTTATTCTAGCCTCGTTTCGGGTCTTGCTAACCCTTTGTCTCTTAAAAAGCTCATGAATTACATTTCTGCAGTGACCTGGTCTTAAAAAGGGTGTGTCAAACAGCCGTGGTTCTATCTGCACCATGCAACATTTACAAGACCTGAGTATGAATATAGTTACTAAACATAACATTTACAGGTTTTTTTAAAAATTCAGAACCAAACAGTTTTTTTTAAAGCCATTCTAACATAAAAATGTCCTGAGATAGAGGTCCACGGCTCCATTTAAGCCCCAGCTGAGTAATTTTGTTTGTAATTGCAGAAACAAGACATTGCTTTGCCAGATCTATGCTATATATTTATTACCAAGCTAGCTGCATCTAGTACCTAAAAATGTCATTTCATTGGCCATTGGATAATGGTGAAAGGACATTGTTGTACAAACCGGTCTTTGTACGCCAGCATGAAGATGGTACACTGCAAGATTCTGGGTTTGATGATTCCAGTGGGTGCAGTTGAAGTACACTTCTTATTCCAGTCCAAGTATCCGTCATCACTGTTGGTTGCACCCAGCAGGACAACTGCATTAACAATGACTTTAACAGAATTTTATTTTCAGAAAATTAGTCTGCTAGTAGGATCAAACATCATCATCTTGTGCCCTGGTGATAAGTATAGGTACTGTGTGTATCATCTCACACAGTCAACAGAATCAGGTCAGTGCTCTTTTCTTGCCTAATTCATATTGCCAAGCCCCTCCAGGGTAATTATCTCTTTCATCTTCTAGCAAACTCCCCCCCCCCCCCCCCACACACCCCCCCCCCCCACTAAATCAAATTTCCAGTTGTTACCAAATTCACAGTTCAATTCTTCTCGCAACATTTTCCAAAAAGCACTGCCCATGGAATCAAACTATATACTACATAAGCAAAGTGATGAAGGCACAATAAATACTCAAAAAATTTTATAAGACTACAGAACACTGGTTCTGTTTATTGAAAAATAGATTGGGAAAAAAGTTATGGACCCTGAATTTGACTAAAAAAAAATGTTTTTGCTTTCCATTTTTCTGCTATGGCATAATTATTGTTCCGGTTATCCAAAGAAAAGCAAACTCTCGTTATCATGTTTTTTTTATAAGAAGAACCCAGATAACATGAACTTGTTAAATAAAAACATTAAGTAAACATGAACTTTTTAAGAAGGACACTCAGTTACTAACTTGCTTAAGAAAACATTGGGTTTAAATATGAATTTGCTTAAAAAGAATATTCATTTAACATAAACTTGCTTAAGAAAAATTCAGCTAACATAAACTTTTTTAAGAAAACTTTTCGTTAACAAAACTTTTTTAAAAAACTTCGTTAACAAAATTTGCTTAAGAAAAAAATTCATTTAACAGAACTTATTTAAGAAGAAAATTTAGTTTCTAAACTTGTTAAAGACTTCATTTAACATGATTTGTTTAAGAAGAAAATCCAAAACGTGAAATATTTTTATATAAAAAAAAATAGGTTGGCAGAGTTGTTTGGGGAACACTTGTGTAGGACTGGAGGCGGGGGGAATGTGTTTGTAAATGTATCTTCTATTTAGAAGCTTAGCGTAGTTTGTATTTTGTGGGAAATTTGCAAAAATATATTTGTGGTTAGGTTTAATATGTTTGTTCCATACTGTTCTGACAAGTTGTTCATCTGTGATGTTTTTTTTGCTGTAAAGTTTTTATAGATTGTAAAGCGAAACTTTTTAGCAGCACTTAGATCCTCACCTTTCGTACCACTGGTCTCGCATGGCGAGAACGGCAGCTCAGTTAGCACGACACGTAAAGGGGAAAACCCCGTCCTTTAATTATGGGGGCGGCTGGGGGGATTAGTGTATAAACATCACCACCCCTTTTTGGTCAGGCGTCCATTCCGTTGAGGGTTTTCTTGGTTTATTTTGTTTGTACTCCCTAGGGTGTTTTAAGTGTATTTTAGGGATTTTAATCTTTTAGCTGGTCTACCCAATAAACCCCGGTAAGTAGATAATAAGTAATTTCTGACAGTATAGAGTTGGTTTTTGCCCCTGGCAGATACATTCTGTGTCTCGAACAAAAACCCCCCCCAAATTGAAACCCGTAAACATGCTTTTTTGGGAGACAGTGGTCTATCCCCTCGAAACACAAAACCCCCCCCTCCCCCCTGAAAGAGGCCCAAAAAACCCACAGCCTTTTGGTGTTTAATATAAAGCATCTTATCTAAATTTTCCCTTTTTTTATGTCTCTCTAGACTAATGTGTGTTTTTGGGGGTTTTTTTTTTAAACATGTTAAAAAATATTTTGGCCCTTTATAGTTTCTTCTGTTTTCCTTTTTATTTTCCCCTTAATTGTCTGTTACCCCCCAAAAAAGGAGAGACGTCAAGCCAAAAAAATTAAAAAAACCCTTCCACTTTTCACATTTTCTGGGGGCTCTCGTTCCCCGAGGTAGAGTTGTTTTTCCCCCCCGGGGGGAGAAAGGAAAATCTCATTTACTTTAACAAACTGAGCGGCAAGCTTCAAAAGTTTTTTACATTAAACATTTAATTTTTAAAAATTTAATGGACTTAAAGCTCCTGAAAACCATCAATGAAATCTTTCATACTGGGCTCTCTTTTGAATTTGATGCTCCCCAACAGGGGTTCTCTGGAGAGTCCAATTTTACGAAAGCACCATCATAGTAAAAAAACAAACACAAAGGCCGCGCACCGTTCCAGCGTGGGAAAAAACATCAAAATAAAGTACGTGGAGCAAATGATTAAAAGGAAATTTTTCTAAATTAAATTTCATAAAAATTAGTTCAAACGGCATTTTTGAATAATCTAATAGTAATTACTAAATATTTTCAAAACAGCAGGAAAAACCCCAAAAAAAAGAAGAAAAAAAAACTACAAAACAATCCCATCTTTAGTTTCCGGAAACAAAGACCCCTTGTAAATAATCGACATACTAGAAATAAACTACAAAATGAAAAGGAAACACCAAAAGGCAGAGGGATACATAGAAAATGGGCTGAAGGGGTGACAGCTTAAGGCTTTACATATCGAGCATACCAAACAAAATAGTGTGACCCCCTCGCAATCAATCAACATCTAAAATTCACACCCAAAGAAATTTAAACAGACACAAAATGAAGTGAATGGAAGCCAAAGGGGACAATGTCTTTTTTAGACAAAAAAATAGGCCCATTTTATGAAAACGAAGAAGCTGAAAAAAAAAAAAGCTGATGAAAAATAAAAAACCCAAAAAAAATGTTTTCGCCTCTAAAAAAAAACTTTCAGATGTTGAGAAGAGTTTAAAAAAAAAACATGGGTTTTTGTTTTAACATGGGAACATTACAAATTATAATTTCCCAAGAACAAACAAAAGAATGTCTTTGAAAAATAAAAAGTGCGATTCCTAATTTTGAAACATGTCATTTAAAAATAAATCAGAAGGGATATGAAAATGACACTGACCAATCTTTACATTTTAAAGTGAAAACTGACAATTAAGGGAGCTACCAACCAGTAAGTGCTGTATGGGATTCCAAATCCCTGCTTTCCCTGCAAAACAACAGTGTTTTTTTGTCCGTTAAATTTTTTGTTTCAAAGGTCAAAATTTACAGAACTAGGGCTGTGGCCGAATAGCGTGATTTTCCACTATTCGGCCAAACGAATAGCTGGTAGCCAATATTCTTTTGAAATAATGGATGGGTAAATCATCATCGGGTGCTTTGCCGACATGCAAGGGGCCGAATTATGCCTAGCACAATCTGAGATCTCCCCTGCCCAGCATGTAATTAGTTCTTGTGCTGGACACAACTCTCGATGCCCCAAAATGCAAACAAAACTGTCGAGAATTCCTTCTCCTCGGTTTTGTCCCTTCCTCTATCCCTCCTTCCACAGAATAGCTTTTTTCAAAGTGGTCACCACATTCCCAAATTTTTTTCCCTCAACTTATAACACATGGTCGAAAGTTATGAACTGTCTCCTATCTTTTTTTTGGTTGCTTTTTTTTTTTTTGACTTGTCCCCCCTTAATTGTCTTTTAAGCCATTGTTCTGTAACAACCACATCTCCTGAGGCCTTTCGTGAAATGGAATAGCCAAGTTACGCAATCGTCCTGTAAGGCTTGAGTAAACCTCTTTCCTTACCTGTAATCTGCACAAAATTCAAAAAACTTGGACTCGCCCAGAAATATTAGTCCCCTTATAGTCTGATGATTAAAATACAATACGCCCTGTTTTGGCAACAGACGTATTATGGTCTGCCCCTTTTCTGGGTTACTTTAGCACGAAAAAATCCAGCGACTTTTTTTTTAAAAAATGTTTTTCTCCTGGAGATAGTTTAGGGAGTTATTTGAGTTTCTTGGAAACCGATTTTACACTCCCTTGCCCAGATGACAGGGGAAACTTCTTTTGTACCAACGCTGAAAAGTGTCCCCCCTAAAGCTGACGCTATTCCTTCCTACACATCCTTACTCAAGCAAAATCCTAGATGTGGGTTTAATCTGTTGCCTTTATAAATATTCACTTTTCAAGGCAGAAATCTGGGAAAATGGCCCTCAATTTGTTTAACATATGCCTTGGGAATAAAGTTTTTAATTATAGTTAAACGAGTACCCCAGAATGATGGGTCCTGGTAAAGTAAGTCCCACTGCCCTGTAGAAGAGCCATCAGCTAATCGGCTGTGTTTGGATCACAACTTAAGTTCTTTTCGCCCGTTTTTTTTCTTGATACGGCTAGCTGAGACAAGCAAGAAGTTTTTCGAACGTAGATAGCTTCCAACTGTACAAGACTAAATAGCTTATGCCCCCTTCAATAAACCACCCATACTAGGATAAAACTTAATAACCTTACAAGCTATGCCCGTTTAAACTTAACAAGTTTGTTTATCGTTTTTAAACTAACCTAAGAAATTGCGCGAAAAGGCCTTTGTTACATACAAACCATGTGTGGGACCCAGATCACTTTTTAGATTTTTGGATATTCCAGGGCTTTGTTTTTTTCTTACCGTATAATTATGAGTGTTGCTATTTGACCCATTTATTAAATCCAACTACTGAGTTACCCTCTTTTCTTTATTGGTACTGACCCAGGGGAATAAGACCAGGTACGGTTTGTGGTAAGATAGTGAATGTGGTTTTGGCCAGTATAATAGGTGTCTGAAACAGAGTGAGGGGAAGAGAGCTTGAGTATATGTGCGTTTAGTACCACACTTTATCTATTCTCCCACTGTTATAATACGCTGACTTTGCCTTCTCTTTGCCCTAAACAGACGTCAATATAGGATGACTTATGTCCTTTTGGTCTGGAGAAGGGCAATCTGAGGAAAATGAAACAGGGAGCATGGGAGTAGTCAACAGATGGGGTTTGAATGACTGATGCTTGCTCCTGTCTTTTCCCTGTCCAAATGTTTACCCCTACCTTTGATGAAATGAAACTAATTGTTGAGTGTATTTTTCTTGGACCAAGGATGGTATATTTTTTCTGAAGAAGCTGGCAGAAGATTCCACAGTCCTCACCAAACATCCTAACCGCAACCCCTAAAACACCAGAACCACCTTTGATTTGCCCACCCAGAAATAAAACAACCTGATGAAGGTGCGGTGAAAATGTTTCCTGAACCAATCTCAAAAAAATGGGATGGGTAAGATGTAAGCAGCAAACCCCCCAGCTACCAGTGCTGCCGAGCTTAAAGTGGCTCAAAGACTATTAGTGTCCTGTCCTTACTGGTCGATAGAGACTCTGCCTAGATAAACGAGTACAGTTGCCCTGCTATATGTGATTGATAGATTAGTACCATTAGCTACTTGATCCTGTGCGTAGCCGGTGGAGCCAGATTTCCCAGAGTCCAAGGGGACAGTCAAATCATCCGGAGCGGAGGGATGGAGAGGCATCATAGACCAGAGAGGAAGAGAAGATAAAGTCCTCTATAATGCTTCGCATGATGTTGCTGTTCCTCACAGCCTCCCTTGTTCGTGTCCAATGAAATGAAAAGATGTTCCATACTCCCAAGGCCCGCCCTGTCACCGGCCTGTTAAAGACCTCAGCTGAAATTTAGGAAACTAGAACATATCCTGCCTGCAGAATTCTTCTGGCCATGATTTGCTCGCATTCACTCAATTTATCATATCCTAATTCTCTATAATCGATTATACATACATTCATTTTACACATGGCTGACTTAGAGTGTCTCTATATTCACCTTTTTATAAGTGATTTTAGCGATAGGTCGTGTATGTATAGAATGTATCTTTCAGTTATATGCTGTTTAACATAGTTTATGATAATATAGAACTATCATTAACCTGGGGCGCTTTTCTTTAGTAAGTAAGTAGCGCGGGTAAGTGTACCAGGCCCAAGTGTTGCCGATTAAGCCTAAAATAAATCGATAGTATATAAATATAGCTATAACGCAAATAATTTTTCGCTAGCTGCCAATAACTTGAGTTGCCCCCTACTCCAGAGATAAGTTTGAATCGTATAATTGGCCACGGGGAATTCCCCCTTAGACCAATACGAAGCCAAAACGAGCCTCAACAAAATTATACTCTGAGTGCTGCTGGTTCTGAAGGGAGCCAAATCCTTACATTACGGCAGCGCGCGACAGGAACAACGCTGATTATGTGACAAGAACAACAAATTATCCCCCCCAAAAATTCTGCCTGGGTCTCGTCGTGGGAATTGTTTTGTACACTGTTCAATCTTAAAAATTTGCTGGTGATCTTGGCCAGGAGTTGTTCAGTGTTTGTGTTTTTTGTTAAACACAGTTGTGACCATTCTGGGGTCCAGTTCTTTAGAGTATACTCCTAGGAGTGATTTGTAATCATTGTGGTGTTTTTGTGGTGTCTAAGTACATTGGGTTAGGTACAACCTTGGTTGGTGGAGATAATTTAATCTATTGTTGATTATATTTACATTGTTGGTGACAATATATTTTGTTGTGGGACTGTTAGATTGACAAGACAGCATGTCGCAGTCAAAAATTTCCATACAGGAATTGAAGGACATGGCTGTCCAGATCCAGATGGGATTGGAGGGTAAAGAAATGACCGAGTGGATTAAAACCACGGAACGTGAGATGAGGATGGAAGCCCGTGAGGGCAGAGAGACTCAGAATTGAGGCAGAGAAGGAAAAGCGAAAGGACTCCGCATTGAATCTGAGAGACTCAGAAATTTGGACTTGCGGTCTGATTGAATCCTGAGAGTCAGACTTGAGTCTGGAGAGGGAGTCAGAAAGAATGAAGTTGGAACAGGAGGTGAGGTTAAGAGAATTGGAACTTCAGGCTCAGAGAGAGGGTAATAGACCCAGATCTCCAACACCTGATATTGATGGTGCATCAATGCACAGTAGCTCAGCTCAAGCGATGAACTTTTTCCTATGCCAGTCTTCGACCCGAAAGGCTGAAAATATTGAAACAGTACCTAGACCGATTTTGGCAAATTGGCATCTTTGTACAACTTGGAAAGGAACATGTACACGCTGAAGTTGGCTCAGGTTTGAGGGGTGAGGCATACGAGATTTATCAACGGATGCCCACCGGTACTGAGACTGATTATGATGCAATTGTGTCAGGCTTTTGCTGAAACGTTTCGAACTTAATGCTTGCGACATACAGACAGAAGTTCAGAAATGAGAGAAAGATGACAGGGGAGAACTATCCTCAGTTCGCCAGTCGCCTTCAGGGCATATTTGACAAGGTGGAGGGAAATGTCTGGATACTCCTCTTCTTTTGAAGATTTACAGGAGATGATCCTAACGGAACAACTCCGAGAGACATTACCTCGCCCTATGCAAACCTTCCTGACGGAGAATGGTGCTGACAGACTGAGTGAGATGTTGTTTGATGTATGCTGAGAGGTATGAGATGGCACATAAAGAAGTGTGTATAGGTGGGAAACCCAAAAAGGCCCAGGGCCAAGGGGAAAAATAATGGTAATGGTCATAAAACCCATCCAAATGAATCCCCTAAAAAGAATTCATCCCAAGCACAACCCCAGAACCCCTCAAAAGTTCAGGGAACACAAATATAGACAACCCTTTAATGGTTTCCCTAAAAAGCCTTACTGCCATATTTGTGTAAGAATAATAACCATTGGACTAAGGGAATGTAAATCCAAAACAGTCAGGGAATTTACAAGTATCAGCTTTGTTGTCTACTACTTAGTAGTACCTTCTACCCAGGAACAATTGTACAATGGTTCCAATAGGCCTCCTGTGGTAGAGAGAGGGTTTGGGCTAATGGATATTCTCTAAATTGTCTGTATGATAGTGGTTTTGTCATACGGCTGTGTGGTGAGGCCAGAGTTTGTAAAACCTGATCAGTATACTGGCAGATTCATAGAGCTCCAATGTGCCACATTGGATGCTAAACCTTTAAACTTGCCTATTGCTAAGATTAAGGTCCGTTCAAAGTATGTCTCGGGGGTAATTGAGGCTGCAGTGCTCGAACACTGTACCTTTGATTTAATTCTTGGCGCTACTTATGTATTTTTAGCAGAGCCGAAGAAACCTTCAGAGCATCTTGCTGCGGTGACCACCCGAGCACAACATAAAAGTGCTTTAGAGGATTCTCCTCATGTAAA